GTTGTGAGATTAAGGAGTTTTCATCATGTCTTCTGACTGCTAGTTGGTATTCATGGATGCGGTCTGCTAGCCTTCTGCTTGTCAGTCCTACATAGTAGTTGATACAGTCCTTACACTGTATGTTGTAGATGACTCCTGTTTTTTCTTCTTGGGCTACTGGGACTCCAAATTCAACATGTAATGTCCATATATATACATTTCATGACTGATTTTTAATTTTGGGATTATAAAGAGAATCAAAGCTGTTTTGGCCACCACTTTAAGATAAATATATGTTAAAATAAGGCTATTTTCCATTCTTGTTTGCGCAACAGTAGCTTGATAATAGTAATATATAAAAGATTTACAGACTTATATATGCTATGTATATTCAGAGATTATAATTTCTATTATTAAGAATTCCCACTATAACTTGAAATAGATGCAACATTTTCATACTTCTTGAAAACAGATGTACAACAATGACAGACACTTACTAATTAGGAACATATACTTGCTTTAGCTTGCTTTCTGCTTCTGCAGCTTTTAATCGTTTCTGAACATAAAAGCAAAACAAAAAAAAATTTAGAAGATGAAGAAAATCCACACCAATTTTTAGTAAAAGGAAATTACTTTTCTGAACATATACTTCTAAAAACTATCTCAGTAAGCAAGAAATCAAACTACTTCTTGCAAACACAAATGTGTTTACCCATTTGGTTAACACTGCATTTCTTTGTTTGTAAATAGCAAAAATCATCAGGACTGAAAGCACTAACAGATATTTAATTCAGTCAATGCATATATTGAGAATTACTGTATTTTATTACACTTTATAGTGCTAACTACTGAGGTTTTCAATGTTTTACTATAAAACTTAATTAAATTTTAATCTGAGACATGGACACCCTTCCTGTGCAAAAGAAATATTCTCAAATGAGAATTTCTTACTTGACTGTTGTCCTGTACTCAAAGGAGAAATAGGAATAAAAGATGTGCCACCACTGGAACTTAGCACCAGTGCAGAACCTAGCAACTCTTGACATTGAAATATCCCCATCCTTTAGGACATAAGCCTTTCTCAACATTAATTGCACATATATAGGAAAGAATATGAGTGAATCAGTCAAATACACCTTTTTCTTATTCAATATGCAAAGTAAATTTCACTGTATCTATATGTCTATGTGTTTATGTATATACATACAGTAGAAGCACATGGAATATCAGTGTTTTTTATTAACTAAAGGTATTTTCAAACTCCTCAACAATTGGAACATATATATTTATTGTGTATTTATTCATCTAAAACTGGGATGGGCAATGTGCAGTCCCTGGAGCCACCAAAATTCGACAGTAAATTGGTTGATTTGGGCTGCCTATTTCTGTTATTTTTCATGAAATAAATTGACATGCTTTCACCCTAACTTTCTTTCAGAGGTTAATATCATCATCATCACCATCACCGCCACCACCACACTCCCAAAGCTGAAAAAGTTGCCTATCCTTGATTTGAATCAAATATGAAACTAAAAGGAAAGAACTAACACATATCAAGTATGCTGTTTTCATGTCTGAACTAGAGAACTGCCTCTACAACCAAAATCAAGATGATAAACAATTTTGGGTATACAGAGATTAAGAGAATTAGGAGTTCAAAACAGCAAGATTTTTTGAGCCTTTGTACAAACAAAAAGGCAAATTATAATAATAAATAGTATAAAATAAAAATATTCTTTGAAGTCAATGCATTATACATATGCTCTTACCTGTTGAACATATCGATCTGTGGTTTTCCACATGTAGTAATACTCAATTATGCTGGTTAAGGACTTCCATGGAAGCTAAAACGCACACGCACACACACACACAGACATGCACAAACAAAAACCTGAAATGTCAAACCTACAACATTCTACCAATAAACAAAACTGTATTTATAAATATAAAAAGCAAAGACTAAAAATATCTAAACAAATAGACACCAAATGCAAAACACAAAATGTTATTGCCCAAGAATATTAATCATTTACCTAACAGTACTCAGCTGGGAATAATACCAAAAATACTATGCTGGTTCATATGGGGCTTTTTTTTTGTTGCTTTTCTTTCTTCCTTTTTCTCACTATAGAGCTTTTATATAATAATAATATATTTACATAGTTATATTACTATTTATCTACAATAATACAAACTAATACCTAATATAAGAAATGTTAATTATAATGTTTTTAAAATTTAACAAACTAATGTATTTTTTTAAAAAAATTAAACTTGCAGACTGGAGTCTAACAGCCTTCTGACCATGGAAAACATGCCCCCCCCCACCCATGTATCTTATGTGCTGGGTACATAAGAGTACAATGTTATTCAAACATTGTAATTTCAACTGGCCCAAAGCTTTTTGCTTAATAAATTGATCATTCAAAGTGCCTCTTTAGGAGTCGAGAGCACTGGATAATTTGGAAGTGAATACAAGAACTACAGTCATTCCCAGGAACTTCATCCTTGAATATACTGGTGTAAACATTATTAGCTTCTCACTATGGATTTCATAGTGGGATAATTTTTGCAAATTTATCTAATTATGCTATACCTTCAGTAAAAAATAATTTTAAAAAATCCAAATACAATAACAGAAAGTAGAGTTTTGTGAACATTTTAATTTGAAACACCCGGGTATAATTTTCTTTCTTTAACTGAAATTTCCAAATTAAGTGTAGCTACAGTCGTGTGAAAAAGAAAGTACACTCTCTTTGAGTTCTATGGTTTTACATATCAGGACATAATAAAAATCATCTGGTC